GGCGGGCCGGTTTGGAGCGGCGACGGGCCGCTGCAGTTCAGGCGGCGGCGGGCCGCTTTAGGGCAGCGGCGGGCCGCTGCGGGAAGGGCGGCGACGGGCTGGTATAGGGCGGCGACGGGCCGCTGCAGAGCAGGTGGTGGCGGGCCGCTTTAGGGCGGCGGCGGGCCGCTGCGGGAAGGGCGGCGGCGGGGCGGTTTAGGGCGGCGACGAGCCGCTGCAGAGCGGGCGGCGGCGGGCCGCTAAGGAAAGGGCGGCGGCGGGTCGCTGCAGAAAGGGCGACGGGCCGCTAGGGGCCGCCGCTAGGGCAGGCGCGCTTCGGGCAGGGGGCAGGACGCGGCCCGGGCAGGAAAAAAAAATTGTTGGTGGGCCCTAGGAACAGTTCCCACGAGGGAACCTGCTCGATACCATGAGGAAATGCAAACGAGAATGAATGAACTATGAAAGAGTTGGGTACAAGTACTAACCCTAATTGGGTTGTACCCCTTATGGGCTACCCCACTACAGCCTACACAAATGCATAAGCTATAATGTTCTGACAGTAGCCGCATGCCACGTAGCAGCTTGCGCATGGTGTTCTGGAGAGTCCTATTCATCCTTTCTGCTACGCCTTGCTGCTGGTGGGCGAAGGGTAGGGAGATGAGCCGCTTGATTCCTCTCTCTGCCAAGTAGTACTTGAACCTCTGTGAGGTGTATTCTCCCCCCTCGTCAGATTGGAAGCTTTTTAGCTTTACTCCTGATTCCCGTTCCACTACTGGGAGCCAGACAACGAAAGCTTCGAAGGCCATGTCGCGGCTTGGAAGGTTTAGATGCCAGACATAGCAAATGGCGGCGTCGATGAACGTGATGGTGTAGCTATATGCTCCTTGTCCAAGTTTGCGATTGTACAGGATGTCGCTGTACACTTTCTCTAGAGGCGCGTAAGGTGGAGCACTAAAATTGTGGTGAGATACGAACGGCTGATGCGGTAAGTCAGCTTCGGGGTAGGTAAAGCATGTTCCGCGGGCTCGTCAAAGTTCACTTCCGTCGGTTAGGAGCAGTTAGTCTTTGTCAAGCACGCCCGCTCTCATCGTGTTATTTAACACTGTGTTGCTTGGATGTCCCATTCTTGCATGCCAGATGTCTTCGCTGGCGCGATGTCCGGGTGAGCGCCTGTACATGTCCGAGTTTGAGTAAAAGCCAGCGGTGAAGTTTGCGCTTCAGTGAACTTCTCGTTGAGCAGGAGCCAGTTGTTGCACAGGTGTCGGAGGAGTGTCGCTGACGAAGACCGGTGCCGTTGAGGGGCCAGCGAGCGATGTCGATGTTGTCTCTGCTGCTGCCGATGGTGTTTCTGCTGCTGCCGGTGTTGTTTCTGCTGCTGCCGGTGCTGTTTCTGCTGCTACCATTGTTGTTTCTGCGGCTGCCGGTGTTGTCTCTGCTGTTGCCGGTGTTGTCGCTGCTAATGCCCTTGTTCGTTCTGCCTCAGGTATAGTGTGCGAATACCAGAAGCCGCTCGGACTGAAGTCGGGATCAAGATCCGGCGGGTGTGTCCAAGAATTAAAGTTGACGATGGCGTCACTGTCGGCGGTGCCTAAGTCCGGAACGAATTCGAGGATGAAGACGTTGTTCTTCAACACCACTTTCCCGATGTAGAGTCCGCCTCTCCCGTGGTACAACTTGAACTCTTGGGTGGTGCTGTCTGCTTCGAGATGAATGCCTTTCGCCATCAGCTGGCTGACGCTAAGTAAGTTGTAGCCGAGTCCCTCCGCGATTAAAACTTTTGACATCTGTAGTATAACATTCATCTCCTGTGACTGAAGTTAAACTACGCCTTGTCATCTCGTGCGCAGGTTCTGGTTGTTGGCAACGGTGATGACGACTTCGTGTTGGAGTTTATGTTCTCGTTGGACGAAACGGCCTGAGGAGCATAAATGTTGTCCACAGCAACTATCCAAGAACCAGGTATCTTTCCCGGACGGCTCGCTTTGGGCGATAGCTGCGTACGTCGGGTTCGGCTGAAATGACTCACGGCGAGGGGTGTTGTTGTCGAGTTGCTCTTCCGGTGAGTAATGCGGTGGTGACTCGGTGATGCAGGAGTCGGTTAATTTTGTCATGCAACTAACAATGTTTCTTGCTCCTTGTGCAGATTGCGTCTTTGATGTCGCTGAGGTCTGCAGTTGACTCGTGGGGTGCGCCTGTGTGGACGCCACTTGACTACTTGAGGGACGAAGTTGGCGTTGCGGCGGGGTTGACTGCTGTCGATTCGGGCAGTGTGTGCGAGGGTGCCCTGATGTCTTGCAAATATGATAGAATGGAGGTACGGGTTTTGGTTGGTGCCGGTTGTTGTTGTTGTTGCAGCGTCGTTGAGTGTGGAATTCAAATTCTGGTACTGACGTTTTCTTCTTGTGCCGCTCCTCTTGCATATCCATGTCTTGCTGCTCGGCGTGAATCTCGGCGCAGAGTGCTGCTTCAGAGATCTTCCCATGGGCTCGGAGAATGGCTCGGGTGGAGCGCCATTGAGGACCGAGGCCGCCGATGATGACTGTCACGAAGGCGTCTTCAGATATTGAACCTCCGCATCGGAGAAGTTTGTCGCGCAATTCGCGACAACGGCTGATATTGTCAGAGGTCCACTGGTGATCCCCGATTGATCCTAGGGAAGGGTTGCAAGCACGTTGGCCTGGGGTGTTATGGGCGCACTGACCCGCTACTAAACAAGCCCTTTTATCCCAATGGTCTAGTGGTAGGGATTCTGACATGGTATCAGAGCGAAGGTCTCAGGTTCGAATCCCGGTGTATGCACTTCGGGCATCCCAGTGCGGGGGGGTGTCAGAGGTTCACTAGTGATCCCCGATTGATCCTAGGGAAGGGTTACAGGCACGTTGGCCTGGGGGGTTATGGGCGCACTGACCCGCTACTTAACAAGCCATTTTATCCCAATGGTCTAGTGGTTGGGATTCTGAAAGATATATGCCATTCCCTTTTCGCCAGGCTTCATTTCCATTGTTGTCAGCTGTGCCATTAATCGACTCCTGATACAAGTTCTTCAAGTGGTTGTACGCAAGCTCGACGGAGTTGCCGTATCCCCGATAGGACCGGATGTTCTGCTACTGGTTCGGTGTGATGTTACGCAGTAGAATTGTGTACGCCATCATGGACTGATATGTGTACTGCTGCTTGTCGTATTGCGTTCCATGTGCTGGGTATGGCAGAGACCCGTCGAAGAATCCAAGACTCTACGCACCTTCCATCATCAACTCGAATTCAAATGACCAAGTGAAGAAATCCTTTCCGTCGAATGGTCTTGACGTCTGTAGCTTTAAGACGCGCGCGAACTGCGACTGAACTTGAAGTGCATCCAATGTCTTCTTTTGCTCAGGTGAAGGCTGTTGGCGCGGCATGAAGCTGACAGAACCGCGTTGGGGTTCGTACGGGGCAAGGTAGGCTGTTGTTGCTGATTTCCTCACGTGTAGGATGAACCGTCGAGGCTCATCGGCGTCACATCGTTGTTGTTGTTGCTGATATTTGACTGCGCAGGTGCCCCTTGCTGGTGTTGTTCGTAGAAGGACATGAAGGAGAAGAACTTCTCCATCATGCTTGGGTCGAAGCCCGCGGCTTGATTTGCGGGAGTTTCAGTGGACCCAGCTGCTGGTCTTGTTCCCGTGCCCTCCTCTGTGTTTAGGCCGGAGGCAGGAGGTGGAGTAGGAGTAGTGCCGGAAGAACCATTAGAGGAACTTCTCTACTTTTGTGTTGCCATGTCTTTTGACGTTGTAGGTGTCTTGATAGTTGTTGAGTTTGCCCTGATAGCTCTCATACCATGTTGGGCTGAGAAAGAGCCCTTAGGATCTTTGCAGGGCTAAACTCTGAGTAGGAAGTTGTAATAGCGGAACTGTTTAATGGTAAGTCCTTGAACCACCTTGCGCTAGTATGTGAGGGCAAAGTAGATTGATTAAAACAAGGAAGTACATGTTTTTTTATAAGAGTACAAGGAATACAAAGAGATACAACTAATAACTGTTTTACTGTTGTTGTTGCGGTTCAATGCAGTGCCAACTCGGGAAACCGCTCAATAACAAGTCAGTTGTTTGTCCTCACTGTGGCGCTGTATTTGTCAGGTCAAAGGTCGTTGACCTTTGACTTTCGCGTAACCTCCAGCGGTTGCTTTTCTTCTCAACCTCCAAGTGTTGACTCGCCGATGCTTCGTTGTGCTTCGCCTCGTATACGACCTAGTGTTTTCGACACACAACAGAAGCGCTTAAATCACTTGTTTCCAACAAGCATGACAGGTAGTGTGGTAGGATATGGCATTGCATACCGTCATCACCCGGATATAAGACAGTGTTGAATAGTAGACAGGGGTTGTCTATTCTACGGGTGTCTCTTATAAACGGGGTAGCCTGATTATAAGACACCTATTTGTGTGTAGGGGCATATGGCAAATGTATAACGAGGAAGTATCTTCTAAACGGATTTTTGTCCATTTATAAGACTGAATTTTTTAATGTATGAGATAAGACATACATGTCTTATATCCGGGCCATGACGGTAGCATGGTGCGCCGTGGCGTGGCAACGTTTGAGATCGCATGGTGTGGCGTGGCATCGCATGGTATGGCATGACGTTGGCTGGGCAGCCTGTTTCTATCTCGGCTTGAAAGCTAGCATACCGTACCATGGAATGCAAACACACTGAATTGCCCTTGCTACTTCACAAGCAGCTACAATCTCTGTGCTGTGGCTTTTCAGCAATCCAGGTGTGGAAATTGGAATGGTGGGGAGAAAGGAAGAGGGATTACACGCAAGAGCACTGCAAGAGAACCATGATAGAAGCTCTTCATTTGGCAACTTGTCATTGTACTGTCCATTCATATTGGTAACTATATACCGCCACATCAGCAGTCAGACCCAGATCTGATCCTTTTCCTCAACCCAGCTAACGTGTCATCCGGAACCAACCAGTCGCCGCGGCAACTCCCAGAATAATATAAATTTCCAGTGATCAATATTACCACTGCTTGGCGAGCTTCAACCAGAAGTACTAAAACTCTCCAGCTTATACCGGTGCAGTTCATGCGAGGTTCCCGCAATCTCGGCCTTCACTGCGACTGTGCTGCCAGGGCCACGCAGCAGCCTCCGCAACACGCCCTCCTGCTCCCCGGCGGTGAAAGCCACGCGAACGGCGGCCCTCCGCCCCACGTCGGCGGGCACAAAGACCTCCGCGGATTGAACCGCCGCCAGGGAGAGCGCAGATCCCTGGAGGGCGGGATGGAGGGAGAGGGAAAGGGGCGGGAGAGGGGAGGAGGAGCGGGAGCGGGAGCGGGAGGGAGAGAGGGAAGGGGGTGGGGAGGGGGAGAGGGAGGGGGAAGGGGAGGGGGAAGGGGAGGGGGAAGGAGAGGGCACAGAGGGAAGGAGGAGGCTGGATCAGAGCTACATCACAAGGAGCTGTCAATGCCACCACCGCCACTGCGCTGCCATCAGTGCTACCACCGCCGCCACCGCCGCCGCCACTCCTGCTCCTCCCGGACGGTGAAGGCCATGCGGACGACAGCCCTCCGCCCCACGTCGGCGGGCACAAAGACCTCCGCGGATTGAACCGCCGCGAGGGAGAGAGCAGATCCCTGGAGGGTGGAGGGGGAGGAGGAGGGGGAGGGGGAGAGACGGTGGTGGGGGGAGGGAGGGGGGCGTGGAGGGGGACACAGAGGGAAAGGTGGAAGCGGAATCAGGTTTCAGCACAAGGAACTACCAATGCTAGCACCGCCACCACTCCTTCCATGATCGGTGGTGCCACTGCCGCCACTGCTGTGACTGCTTGAATGCAGGGTAAGGCTGGATGGGTGCTAGGGTGCCTTGGGTCCGTGACCAGCAGGTGGTTCAAATATGTGGTGCGCATGGGCCGAATCAAGTCTATAGCGGGGATGAACCTGCTGGCAGCAGGACGGCTGGCGCAAAGACCTCCCGCGGATTGAAATATTCCCACGGGGTATGATGAGCGACGCCTCAGCGCGGCGCTGATGTCGGCGGCGTCGTTGGAAATGACGAAGTCCTACCACAACGAGTTGACTTATAACAGAGGACTGTGTGGAAAGACATGCCATGCAGCAGCCGCTGCGGCAGCAGTGGCGGAAAACACGATGTGACGATCGCCGCGACGAACAGGGAAGAATCGACGCCAACTTGATACGCTTCGCCGTGAGCAAGGAGACAAAATCGCCTGGAAAGGCCTGAGCAGGCATTTAGGGGACCTGGGGAGCCGTAATTATCTCGGTTTCTGAGCCGCCTCGAAAGCAGATCACTCAGTGATTACGAGCGACTCACCGTCTGCGCGTTGTACTGCTCCACCGCGATTCCCGCCGCTCTCTGCGCGAGCGCCGCGTCGCTGGCTGCGCCTGTCTGCGTGAGGTCCAGCCCCACCCACCCCGCCGAGCTCACCGCCGGCACACGCGCCGCTACCGCCACAGCGACGAGGAGAAGAGCGACGGCGATTGGTAGCTTCATGATGGCGCGAAATTGAGGGATAGTAGCTGCGGCGACTGGATAGCGGTCGGGATGCTTCTAATCGCCTCAAAAACTATGGTTCTGGACTGGAATGATCACGCGGATCAGAACGTCTGGAGTGACGCTACTACACGGACTGATATGTAGCAGTGAAGTTGAACGCGACAGTGACTGTGGTTGAAACTGCGGGACAGTACGAGTACAACTCGCCAGAGTCTGGCACCAAATTTCCCGCGAAAAAGACCATCCCGCAGCGGGACTCCCCGCGCGGGAGTGTGACTCCGAGGGAGTGTGTGACTGAAACGACTTACCATCTCTAAAATGTTCTGACCCGAAATGGACCCCCAGGTTACTCCGGGGCTACATTCAGGTCATCTCAGAATCTGACCCAAAAGTTACTTCTGGAACTGACACTTTAGGCTAAGCTGAGGTCAGATGGCCTAACCCGTAAGTGACTTTCGGGTCAGGTACGGGTCAGTTTTTGGCGGGAAAAGTCCAGCTACGGGTCAGGTACTACGGGTTAAGATTTGGCAGTAGGTTCCTCCCAGAGGTGACGGATCCCACGCCGCGTTCTTCATGATCCCGCTCTGTCGCATCGCATCGCATCGCCGACCGCTGTCGCAGATCGATGCGACTATCACTAACCTGGACACCCCTGAACCGTTGGACAGGCCTCGGAAGTTGGAAAGCTAGCAAAAGCCGGCACCACTCGTTCGTGGTGTGCGACGTCTCCACCCACCACCCACCAAGCTCTCCCAACCACTGAAGCTTCTGTCGAGGTCGAACACAAATGGCAAGTTGGCTGTCGATAATTATTTCTTGCCTTCTTTGGGTCGGTTTTGGGCAGCATATGCCCAGCGAGGTGGACTGAGGGTAGCTCCTCCATTCGGTGTACACGGTCACCGCCTCACTTCAAATGAACTGTACACGAGTGATGCTCAAGAAACCGTCCACCGCCTCACTCCCATATGAACTGTACGAATGAATGCATCCATGAACCGAGTTATTTTTGTGTGAAAAGACGGCAGAGCATACAAGTGTTCTCGTTATAGTCCGACGGATCATCATCGCCGCGCGCGGACTATGTGCGAAAACCTTCAAACCCCAGGCAAAACGCGATACTTCTAGTCCCGTTCAAGAAAATTGCATGAAGAGTGGTTGTTTTACTACTATTTTCTGGATTTCGGCATTTACGTAGATTTGGACCGCGCTTGCTTCAACTTCCAGTCGCACGGTTTTCCACGCTGATCAATGTCGTATGACTAACGGGCAAAACTAAACAAAATCAACAATGGTTATGGGGCCGAAAAGTAACCCAAAACCTTTTACCCTGTAATCGAAATAAATAAGATCTCAACGTCGATCGCGCTTGAGACAGCGCGACAGGATTGAGAAGTCGCCGTCAAGAGTAACAATAACTTACCATCTAAAAGTTAGAATGTCGAATCGATAATCCCTTCATCATCGTTTTCCTTGAATGTTGGGCTGGTTTGATCTGGAGCCTCTGATTGGCTGCGGAGCTGATTCGTGCAATGATTCGGTCAAACTGCAAACTTTCCCGCCAAAAAAAGGGACTGTAGGGTACGGGCCAACCCTAGGAGATATCGGAAAATTCTACTCAGGCGGCAAAAGGGCCTCTCTCAGCGAAGGCCTCTAACCCGGAACACTTGTAGTTTCTTTCGCCACGCGGTCTCAGCACTGCGTGTTCAGGAAGCGAAACTTCAGAAACTTTGACCAAAATCACGATTGATAACCTTTCCTATCTCACGAAAACTGAATTGATTACAGTAGCTTTCGCATGGCCTCGAGTGGTGCTGACGACATCTGCGAAAAAATGCGTGAGGGTAGAGTCTGGTTTCAGGTGACGTCCTGAGAGAACTAGATCGTCTTGCGGTACGTATCAAGGCTGCGCTGAGTAAGAAAGCTTGTATCACGCAATGGCGTGTGCACTAGCGTTGGAAATCACATTCGCAAGCTCAGGTGGTAACCTGACTTCGTACATCTCGCAAATCACCTTCGCGATGACTTTTTGATTATGTTAACACTTTCGACTTTGACGTGTTCGAATTCTGAGTTCCCAGCCACATTCGAACAGCACTCCGGAGCGCGGTTCGGGATCCAACTTGTGCGACGTTACGACGCTCACGACGTGCTGACGTGTCCGATTTAACCCAATCAGATTTCTTGCGACGATGACAAAACTGTACAGAGTTTACGCGCACGACGACTTGTCCTAACCTTGAAGTGTGTTACTTTTGAGTGCCAAAGCAATTTTTACAAGACTTTGTGCCAAAAGCCATGAGTTCGAATCCCGGGTGTTCGAATAACAACAATGACGGCAGTTCGTTTTCAAAGTTCGATTTTCACATATCGAGCTCTATTGCACACGCCCTAACGTTCTGAAAGTGTCATTCCGATCTTAATTTTGGATTCCGCCCGAAATTTGCAACTGCATTCATATAAAAAACTCGGTTTTCGTAAGTTACAATCGTGTGTAGCGCTGCACTCCTACATTTTCAAAGGCAACAAAATATCTAGTACAATATAGTTTCACAGAGTAAACCAAGTTGGAAAAGAATGACATAAATAAAAGAGAACGGAATTGAAGAAAGAAAAGGAGAAGAAAAGTGAAGCTGCCAGAAAGAACAAAAATGCACCACACATAAAACCCCCCCTCAAGATACCTAATCAAAACGCCCAGTCAAGACACCCCATCAAGACATCCCATCCCACATCCCATTCCCCCCCCCCCCCCCCCCCCCCTCAAATCACAACAGCGTATCGTCCATGTACGGGGCCTCCACCCAAAGAGCCCCGCCTTCCATATCGACATCGTCCCTCTCCCGGTCCACCAAATTTACGTTAATCCCCCCCATGGAAGACGCCGCTCGAAGCAGGATGACACGGGCTTGCGCACGTTGTAACGCCACCCTAATGAGCGCCTTCAGTGACCCTAAAAGATAAGCCGAAAACACAGAGTCGTCCTCCCGACAAGCCCTCCGCGACACAGCTAGCCCCACGTGGGCATCCCCTTGCTGACAAAGCCACCGCCGAAAACGACCGCCGAGACACCCCCACGTCTCTACTATCAGAGGGGTGAACTGCACGCCCCGGTTGCGTGCAAGCAGAGGCGCGTAATCACTCGCTTTGCGACGCTCCCACTCCCTTGCCACCACACCTATTTGACGCCCGCACTGTTCCAGCAGGGATGGAGACAGCGATAGCGGGTACGCGACGCTGATCTCTAGGGCGTGAGCCTCCCTAGCCATTGGTCGTCGCACCGCCACATCACCCCGCTTCCCCTGCAGCACCACACTATCCTCCATTGTCACCACCCCCCCCCCCCCCCCCCCCCGACGCCTTAGAGATCTTCGCCACCGCAAACTTCACCTCATCATGCACTCGAGATGGACCATGCTGGTGCTTGCATCTCAGGGCATGGTGCGGGTCTGCTGGGTCAACCTACGCTGTGCCACAAACACACCTCCCCGCCACCTGCAGCTGCTGAATTGGGAGCCCGAGCCGTATAGCAGCAGCAATGCCCCACTCAGCCGCAGTGAAAGTGAGATATGAGTGAGCCGGAACCGCCGAAACCCATGCACCCGCCCCCGGGCCCTGAAGGGATGTGAAACAGGCCAAGGTAGCATCATCACGAGCCAAGCGGCGCAGTGCCTGGAGCTCCTCTACAGCTAACTACCGCTACCGCGCTTGGAAAAGCCGAACAGGAGGGGCCGCTACACACAGAGGTAAGCCTGGTATCTCTTGGCGGATAGTCGCTGGCAGCTGCTCAAGAGCCTTGACAAACCACGGGTCAAGAAACCATGCCCCTGTCGAAGTGGTGAGGTACTCCGCAAACATCGCCTGCTCGCCCGCCACCTAACTGTGCAATGTCACGCGCGGCCTGCGCCCACCCACAAACATAGGACAGTGGGCTCAAAGAGGCCGCCGCCCGGATCCCAAACCCTCCGAGTCAAACAGGGAGATGCAGCTGCATTCGTTGCGCACCTAGACCGGTCGGGGTCCTGCTCCCAAGTGCCAGGTGGGAAAAGCTGCTCAAAGCAATCCTCTAAACAGCTATCCCAATCCCTAAAAGCCTCAACCACCAAAGTTTGATTTTCACAATATCATGCTCTAGTGCACACGCCCTAACGTTCTGACAGTGTCATTCCGACTTGTATTGCTGGATTCCGCCCGAAATTTGCAACTGCATTCATATAAAAAAAAAAAATTGTGTCACATGCCCTGAGGGAATCGTCTTTTGTGAGTAGAGCTGTATTGTGTGTTTTGTTTGGCCCATTTCGAGCTCTCATCGTTTTTGTTGTGTTTTTCCGCCTTGCTCGATAGCAACCACACCACACAATGCATGTATCGGTTTTCTAGTTTGTCGCTTCGTACACTCGCGTTTGTAAACTCGAGCCTCTGGGTTCGGTTCGGAAGCTCCAGGTTCACCCACACGTTGATGTTTCACAGAGGTACTGTGGATCCCCGACATTAGTTCCACCCTGTTTCGGAAAGTTTGTGGTAACACTGTTTTCATATTATCTGTTTTCCGTTCATTTATAAATACACTATACAGTGCATGAAAAAACTGTCACCATACGACTGGTAGATTTAGCCAAATCGGCGAGGCAGCGGTCAGCCTCGTGCCAGATGTACGGCCGATTCGTGGTGGTAGCGATCTGGGTTTCTGACACTTGAAGTCTTCGTCGTCGAACGTCAACTAAATGTCGACGAAACCCGACATTTTCGGACGCTGACGAGACTGCTCTTCGTCAATAAGGCGCTTGGCAACTTGTCGACATATGACACTGGTGGTGTGAAACTATATATGTTTTAGTACAATATGTAGGCTATAGTGTGGTAGCCAATATGGGGTATAGCCCCTTTATGGTTTCTATTTGTACCTAACACTCTGATACTTCAATCCATTTTTCGTGCTCTTAGTTCTGACATGGTATTCAGAGCAGTAGGTCCTTAGGACCGTTTTTTTTAGGGCCCAC